TTATATGGCTGTACGTAGCAACAAGGAGCTTCAGTGGCTCAAGTGGTTAAGACGCTGAACTGCAGGCTGTGGAAGGTCGGTAGTTCAGCAGTTCAAGACCCAAGTGTGCTGCATGACGGAGTGAGCTCCCATCTCTAGCTCCAGCTCCTGCCAACCTAGCAGTTCGAAAGCAAGAAATTGCAAGTAGATAAATAGGGACCACTTTGGTGGAAAGGTAACAGCGTTCCGTGCACCTTGGTGTTTAGTCATGCCGGCCACATGACCACGGAAACGTCTTCAGACAGCGCTGGCTCTTCGGCTTGGAAACGGAGATGAGCACCGCAACCCTAGAGTCGGATTCGACTGACTTTCGAGCAAGGGAACCTTTATCTTTACTTTTTATGTAGCAACAACATGCCCTGACCTGGATGATCCAGGCTACCCTGATCCCGTCAGATCTCGGAAGCTAAGCAGGGTTGTCCCTGGTTAGTACTTGGATGGGAGACCACCAAGGACATCCAGAGTTGCACAACAGCAAACCACCTCTGCTTGTCTCTTGCCTTGAAAACCCTGCAGGGTCGCCATAAGTTGGCTGTGACTTGATGACCCTTTCCACCACCACTGGCAATCATACATTTAGCAAGAAAGTGCTCGGAGCAGAGTAAGCAACTGCCGCAGCATAGGGAAGCTTCCATCACAAAAGGGCTCTTTTTGTAGCAGGAACTCCTTTGCATATTAGGCCACACCCCCTAATGTAGCCAATCCTCCAAGAGCTTACAGAGCTCTTCTTACAGGAGCTACTGTAAGCTCTTGGAGGACTGGCTACATTAGGGGTGTGTCACTTAATATGCAAATGAGTACCTGCTACAAAAAGAGCCCGGGCGGGGGGGGGGGGCGAAGTGCAAGGGGAATAATGTTATAGGATCCAGGCCAGTAGCTCCAAATTTCTAAATAAGTCAGTCACTCAACTTCTGTTTTTTGAGATGCTGTCCAATTAATATTTATGCTTTGAACATGTATTGTAGATGGGTTTCATTTTTCACTTGTCGTTTCAGTGCTAGGGCTTTTCTTAATGCTGTAAACTGCTTTGAAGGCTTTAAGTGGAGAAGCAGGGTATACAAGTCAAAGCATAAACAAGTCTCATCACTTCCACACTGGGACCCTCTCACTTTTGAGGGTCTAATGGCTGGAATGTGCAAAAAGATGGACTCAATTTCATACATTCTGGTTATACGGCTATAACCCCATGATAAACAAGACTCCCCAAAGTTAATAATTAATTGACAGTGGTTATGAAGTATATGTTTCAGAACTTGGGGGGGGGGGAATTATTCAGTGTTTTATTGTAATATAATAAAATGCAAACATGACAAACTTAGGGGGAAATTAAAACAGTTGCCTGGTAAAACATCCAAGAAATCTGTTAAACACAGAGTTCTCTATAATTATGCTACCTCCCACAAATTATGCAATTAGGATAATATTTAAACTAGACAGATTTGCATACATTTGCATAGTTAAGTTTGGCTCCACAATGTCTTTGGCAGATTTGTCAGTGCTGGAAATTTGGAATCTTTGTTTCTTCTCTTTGTCACCATGGTGACTGTGAGACTGCATACACATGCTTCCATTTCACAAACACCCCTCCCCACATTGGCTAACATTTTAGAAGGAATCACACTCCCTTACTTTATTATGGATTTTGCAAAGCAACCATGGTGTCCAGAGATTTGCTTTTTATTGTCAAAAATTAAAATAAGACAAAGTTGACATGATTGATATATATATGGTTATAATGGTTGGTCTCCCAGGCTGTCTCCTGAATGCTTGACTTTCACCATCCACTTTTGAATATGCTGTGATGCTTATAAATCATCACTAGGTGGTGCTATAATGCTGGTTTCATAGCAATAATGTTAGCATAGAATAAGGAAGGGAAACTCCATGGGGAAACAGCCCATCCTCCATTTCTTCCCCATGGTAGGTTTGCAGAGATCTTTCCAGTTCTATGGACCATTCTCAATTTTACACAAAGCAGAATTCACAAGAGAAGTCTCGCATATTGACCATCTGAGAGGATTTACGGGAAGAAAGGACTATTCTGAAGTACGGCATGAGGCATTTTGTTTAATTAATTCAGAATATTAATCTTCCACCTAGGGTTGCCAGCTCCAGGTTGGGAAATACCTGGAGACTCCGGGGGTGGAGCCTCAAAAGGGTGGGATTTGAAGCGTAATGCCAGAGAGTCCAACTTCCAAAGTGGCCATTTTCTCCAAGTGAGAAGATCTCTGTTGCCTGGAGATCCGTTGCAATAGTGGGAGATCTCCAGCCATCGCCTGGAGATTGGCAACCCTAGTCCCACCTGTACGTCAAAAGTATCCAAAGCAGCTGATCAAAATTGCAGGCTCTTGGATTTAAACTCAGATGTGCACATATCAAAACAAGATAGAAATAAATAAAACAAGCCTACATGAGAGTCTGACTGTTTAAACTTCACCGATATTGTCAGGATTCCATAGTGCTATCCAGATTCTGCTCTAGGGATGGGTTCTGTTGGGATCATGAGTGTCAATCAGATTTCCTGCTTCCTGACCACACCTCATTTATGATGCAGTGCCAACTCTGGATTGGGAGATTCCCATAGATTTGGGGGTGGAGCCAGGGGTGGGGTTTCAGGAGAGACCTCAGCATGGTATAATGCCATAGGGTCCACCCTCCAAAGCAGCCATTTTATCTGGGGAACCAATCTCTATACTCTGGAGATTAGCGGTAAATCCAGAAGACCTCCGAGTCTCACCTGAAGGTTGGTAACCCTGGCTGCTCGGCATCATAAGAGCTACAGTAGTGCACAATAAATGCTATAGTAACAGAGTCGTGCAAGAGTCTGAGATTTGTCCATGATGTCCTAATGAAACTTTGAATGATTACTTGTGATGTAAAAGTAACACAGAAAGAATATGTATCATCACATATTCACAAAACCACCGGTCAACTAAAACAGGGGATGTCATATCACGTGCAAAATATCAAACCTGAGGATATACCTACAGAAAAAACATGAACCAATATTAACTTTCACGGCTTCCAGAAAGAACCACAAAAAAGTGGTAACTGTAAATTCAATTAGAGTACAGAGTCACATTTGTAAGATTTGCTAAGCCGCCCTGAGCCTGCCTCAGTGGGGAGGGCAGGATAAAAATTGAATGAATGAATGAATGAATGAATGAATGAATGAATGAATGAATGAATAAGTTTAGGGTGTATGTATGGGATGCCATTTGTTTCCCAATGAACTTCCTATGAATTGTCTATGAGGGGAAGAGGGGAAGAGGGAGGCCAGTTTCCAGGTGGGATCTGGGGATCCCCTAGAATTACAAGCCATTTCCAGACTACAGAGGTGACAAAATGGATGCTTTGGAGGGTGGACTCTACCCACTGAAGTCTCTCTCCTCCCCTGGTTCCACCCCCAAATCTACAGGAATTTCCCAATCTGGAGCTGGCAATTCTACCCCACACACACCAGTGGCCAGGGAAGACCTGGCAACCCAAAGCATGCCATGAAAGGCCGATATGAGGATGCTTCACTCTGCACTTACTGCATGAGTGCTCTGCAATTATTAACTCGTTTAGCCTGATAACACTTGTGACTGAAAGGAGGATGCTCAGGGTCAGTAACTTGCTTAAGGCCGCTGAGGGATCTTCATGCAGAATCGGAACTCCCGAAGTCCAATCCAACATCTGACCACTGAACCATACAGAATTTGTTTTTTTTAAGGCAGGGGAAAGTGTTCTTTTTCTCACCCTGCAGACTGGAGGGAAGGCCTGCTGGGTCTTAAGAACCACAGATCCTGAGTTGGGTAGCCCAGGCAAGCCCAATTTCATCCGATCTCAGAAGCTAAGCAGGGCCGACCTTGGTAAGTACTTCGATGGGAGACCTCCAAGGAATACTCCCCCTTCCTTTTCAGAATACTTATTTATTTACTTCATTTTGCTGGAGATTCAAGTTGCTACACTTCAGTCATTACAGAGTTAAGTGTCGTTTGTCAGGAAACAGGATTTTGTGTTACATAATGTATTCTACGGCGGGAAAGTTTGAGGGAGTTGCTTAGTCTAATGAAGTGACCTGTAGCCTTTGTATTGGTCCACTAACAACTTGTTTGTGGAAATGCTTTGATCTAGCATTAATGTATTCACAAGGTTTATGGTCCTTTGTGTGAAGCACACAGGAAGCGCTCTCTTGAAGCCGCTCGATAGATAGAAAGATGTAGCCGTTAGCAAGTAGTGCTGAAAAGTAACTGTAAGCATGTAATCTTGTGTTTTATTTCTTTTTATCCAAAGTACCCTACCCATGCTTTGTTTTGTAGTAAAGATATTTTTCTTTTAACTAATGTGACTCTTGTGTTTGCAAAACGACCATCGATCTCGAATCTCAGAATCCCTAACACATTTACACCTCACTTTTCTCCCCAATGGCTTACAACATTCTCCCCTTCTCCTTTTTATCCTCACAACAGCCCTGTGAGGTTGGCTAGGTGGAGAATATGTGACTGGCCCGAGGCCTCCCAAGTAACCTTCCATGGCGAAGTGGAGATTCAAACCTGGGTCCCCCAGATCCTAGTCCAACATTCTAATCCCTATACCACACCAGCTCTCTTTAATATTTTCCCCAAATACTCCCCCTCCCCTTTTGTATAAACTCAAAAGTTTGATCAAATTCTTGCTTTTGGATGCAGAAGCAAAAAAGAAAGAAAGAAAGAAGCCCAGAATCCAGAAGGGTCAAGAAGTCACTCAGGAAACTGCCCTACATAAATGTTACTATAACTCCATTGGAATCTTAGCAATAACTCATCTCTCTCCCCCTCTCTCTCTCCCTTTTTTGTTGTTTTTATAACCTTTTTGCTCTGATCGTAACACATTGTCAACAGCTTCATCAATTATCCATGGCTAAAAAGTGGACTCTAACGTTTGGAGAGTGTTATTAATTGGCCTCGGTAGCGCATAATGAGTTTAAAAGCTCCTACCTGGGTGCCCCCGGGGATGGTAGCTAGTCGCGGACAACGATTTACAGCACACCATTAACACATATGCCAGGAACAGCCACTGAGATGGAAGCATTGATTTGGCACAGAACCTCATCCTGCGGGCAGAAAAAAAGGAAGCCACTGAGCGAAAAAGACAGTGTATAACGGGGGAGAAATGTTTTTGGGGTTGTTTTTTTTAAGTGAACGCTGCAGGAAGGAGGGGGGAAGAAAGCAGAAGAGAGTCTGGAAAACTAACCGAAAGGGCTTATTATAGCATAAGACTTAAGGGGTGGAGGTGGTGGAAGCAAATTCACACCTAAACCGAGATCAATTCCTTACCAGACGTGTTTAATAAGAAGCAGGGCAGCAGACGGCAGTGGGCTCCTTCCCTCTCTCAGCCAGCTAGCTTTATGTTACTCTTTACATATTACAAGGTCAGCAGAGGGGGGGGGAATCACAAGGGGGTGTGTGGATCAATCCTGTGTACGCAAGGCCTCTGTGAAAGCGGATCTTTCCTGCCTCTCCCCAGCAGCCAGTGCTGAAGGTTGGAGGGCCCTCCTTAAGAAGAGGCCAGGGGGCAGAAGGAAGGCTGCACAAAGGGCAGAGAATTTGATGAAATCACCCCCTGGGTTGCCAGCCTCCAGGTTGGAACACTAAAAGATTCTTCAATAGTTGGTACATAGAAACTGAGATATTAATTGCATCACATGAATTCAATTGCTCATATTATTTGTAATTTTCATAATTTTTTCAAGTTGTGTATATGTTGTTTGACAACCTGTCCCGTGATCTCGCTTGTTCTGTAACCTCCAGGCGGGGCCTCGAGATCTCCCAGAATTACACCTGATCTCCAGCTTACAGGGATCAGTTCTCCCAGTGTATATAGCTCCATTGGAGGATGGACTCTATAGCAGTATAACTTCCTGAGGTACCCCTCCAAGCCCCGCCCTCCCCAGGTTCCACCCCCAAATCTTCAAGAATTTCCCAGCCTAGAGTTGGCAACCATACCCCCCCCACACACACATATACACCTTCACCCTTGTGCTAGCCAAGCAAGCCTGACTTTGTTTCTGCGAAAGAAGGGCAGCTTGTTTAGGAATGTCATACCCCCCTCCCCCAGCAATGACCATCAAGGGCACAAAAAAACACTAGGAGGAGGGGGACTACATGCAGCAATGGTTTCCACAAACTCCTTTGATTCACGGGAGCTTGGATCCAGATCTGTGCAGAGTTTCCCCTAAAATTAAGGGCACATTGCTCAGTGGTAGAGCATCTGCTTGGCATGCAGAAGGTCCCGTGTTCAATCCCCAGCATTTCCAGTTAAAAGATCTGGCATTAGGTGATGCGAAAGACCTCTGCCTGAGACCCTGGAGAGCCACTGCCAGTCTGAGTAGACAATACTGACTTCGATGGACCAGAGACTTGATTTGGTATAGGGTAGCTTCATGTGTTCACAATTCCTATTGGGTAAAATGTTGGCCATTCATTTCAGTTTATTGGCCTGGCCATAACTGGATGTAAGATGGTTTTCAACAACTATATCTCCTCATTTTGGGGAGAAATGAGAGAGAAACAGAGAAGGGGACCAAGAGAGAGATCTTGGAGTCATAGTAGATAACTCGCTGAAAATGTTGAGACAGTGTGCGACAGCAATAAAAAAAGGCCAACGCTATGCTGGGGATTATTAGGAAGGGAATTGAAAACAAATCAGCCAGTATCATAATGCCCCTGTATAAATCAATGGTGCGACCTCATTTGGAAAACTGTGTACAGTTCTGGTCACCACACCTCAAAAAGGATATTATAGTACTGGGAAAAGTACAGAAAAGGGCAACTAGAATGATCAAAGGGTTGGAACACTTTCCCTATGAAGAAAGGTTAAAGCGCTTGGGGCTCTTTAGCTTGGAGAAACAACGACTGAGGGGTGACATGATCGAGGTTTACAAGATTATGCAAGGGATAGAGCAGGCAGAGAAAGAAGGACTTTTCTCCCTTTCTCACAATATAAGAACTCATGGGCACTCAATGAAATTGCTGAGCAGTCGGGCTCGAATAGATAAAAGGAAGTACTTCTTCACCCAAAGAGTGATTAACACATGGAATTCACTGCCACAGGAGGTAGCAGCGGCTAGAAGCATGGATGGCTTCACGAGGGAATTAAATAAATATATGGAGCAGAAGTCCATCAGTGGCTATTAGCCACAAGGTATATATAGGAACTCTCGGTCTGGGGCAAGTGATGCACTGTATTCTTGGTGCTTGGGGGGGGGCAACAGTGGGAGGGCTTCTGGTGTCCTGGCCCCACTGCTGGACCTCCTGATGGCACCTGGTATTTTTGGCCACTGTATGATAGAGTGTTGGACTGGATGGGCCACTGGCCTGATCCAACACTGGCTTCTCTTATGTTCTTATGTTCTTAAGGTGAGAAAGGAAGAAAAGAGAAAATGTATGGATGGATGGAAGGAAAGTGAAAAGGAAAAATAATATGTAAGATTAAAAAAATTCAAATGAGGTTGCATGTTGGGTACTAGATCCTAGGGAGTTCTAGATAGGTCGAAGTCCAGGGAATTAAGTGATTAAAAGCTCTGGCAAAGGCAACAGAATGAAGGATTAAAATAAATTTTGTAAGAACATTACTACATCAGATCAGACCAGTAGATCAGACCAGTGGTCCATCTAGTCCAGCATCCTATCTCACACGGTGGCCCACCAGTTCCTCTGGAGGGGCAACAACAGGACATAGAGGCCCAGACCTTCCCATGATGTTGCCTCCTGGCACTGGGATTCAGAAGATTAGCAAGGGTCTCAAACTCATTTCTTATGAGGGCTGGATTTGACATAAATTGGACTTTGTCAGGCTGGGCTATGTGTGTCAGACTTTATACCTCTGCTACCTGGCATTACATTTTACGACACACATGGCCCAGGCTGACAAAGTCTAATTTATGTCAAATTCAGCCCTCAAAAGAAATGAGTTCGACACCCTTGGATTAGTGCTTCTGGAGATTCCCTTTAGTCACCATTGCTAGTAGCCACTGATAGACCTATCCTCCATGAATCTATCTAATCCCCTTTTAAAGCAGTTTATTCCTGTGGCCATCACTAGATCCTCTGGTAGTGAATTGCAGATTTTAATCACTCGGTGTAAAGAAGTATTTCCTTTCCATCCTAAATCTCTTAGAGCTGTGAAACAGGAATTCTGTGGCATGGGAAGGGCCAGGTTATATCCTTGTTCTGGATCATCAGCTGCCACATCATTCTGCTGGCTTCACTGGCCACTGCTAGGTAACAAAGCTACACTGTGGGCACAGTGCAGCTTAGATGTTCAATAGCTTCAATGAAAACTATGTAACTTGTCAGAAAAGGTGGAGGGGGGGAGCCACTACCCTTTATTAGGTACGGCGAACACAGGAAGCAACCTTCTCCTGAGTCAGACCATTGCTCCGTGTAGCCAAGACTGTCAACTCTGAAAGTGAAAGGTTAAGTTTGTTCTTCTAGGAACTTCATATTTCTTTGAAACAAACATGCAGTCCTAATTGTAAGAGGGTTATGAACCAGCCACTGACTTACCTTAAATGTACAAAGCAAGAGGGCATACTCAAGACCTCTTAACACTTGAGACATAATTAACCTATCTTATGTTATCCTGAATGTAGAGAACATAAGTAGGGTGTTTCTGGAGCAGACCAAGATCCACATCGGCCAGCTTCGTATGAAAACATCCCATCTAGCAGATGCTACATGGTCCACCAGAAATTGTCCAGGGGACCGCAGTAGACTTTTACTTCCGTTCTACACAACTATTTCTAACCAGTAGAAGGACAGACACAGTTACCATTCCAAACCATGTGTACCTTATCTCTGAAGTGCCAGCATACTATAAGGGCAATTCAGAAGCTGGTGCCATTCTGTAATTCTATATGGGGTATGTTATAGAAGAAGACGAGAAGAAGAGATTGGATTTATACCCCACCCTTCCCTACCCAAAGGAGTCTCAGAGTGGCTTACAGTCCCTCTCCCTTCCCCTCCCCACAACAGACACCCTGTGAGGTAGATGGGGTTGAGAGAGCCAGTTTGGTGTAGTGGTTAAGTGCGTGGACTCTAATTTAGGAGAACCGGGTTTGATTCCCCACTCCTCCACTTGCACCTGGCTGGATGACCTTGGGCAAGCCGTAGTTCTGATAAGATATGTCCTTGAAAAAGAGCAGTATCTGTCAGAGCTCTCTCAGCCCCACCTACCTCACAGGGTGTCTGTTGTGGGGAGGGGAAGAGAAAGGAATTTGTAAGCCACTCTGAGACACCTTTGTGTAGTGAAGGGCGGGGTATAAATCCAATCTCCTCCTCCTCTTCTTCTTCTTCTCTCAGGAACTGCCCTTGAGAGAACAGCTCTGAAAGAACTTATGACTGACCCAATGTCACACCAGCAGCTGCATGTGGAGGAGTGGGAAATCAAACCCGGTTCTCCCAGATTAGAGTCCATGCTCCTAACCACTACAACAGATGGGGCAAAATTTCAGCCATTGCTCATAAAAGTTGAGTCACATTATGCACATTTTTAATGCCAACATTCTTTTGTTGAACATGCAAAGTTCAAAAGAGGCACCTGCCTTGAGATATGTACAGACTTTGCCCCCTCATTAATAAAGAAACAATGCCCTCCCCATCTTGCTTTAGCAGGAAAGGTGCAGATCTCAGGTATATTTGAACCTCAGTATAATTTACTTTTAAAAATTAAGTACTGAGTCCAGCCCATTGGTGTAAAGAAAAAAAATCTCAAAAAAAGGAAAAAGAACTGTACACAGTGAGGTTATAATGCGACTCCAGCTGGAGATAATATCCAAGAAGCATCATCCAACAAACTTCATTAATTACTCAGTAGACGTTTCAGATCTATAAAAAGGATGAAGAGTTCTCCTTACCTTGGGGCTCTTTCCTGGTCTTTGCTGCAGTTAAACAACCTGATCAGTGTACATAATCCATAGTAAATCCAAATTCCCATTTGAAAATATGCACAAGCATATCCACATCTCCTGAACTTGTCTCCACACTCAGGGCCTAGAGAAGAAACCAGAGTATGCAGCCATTACTGAGGGATTAAAATGATGATGTTGAAGACTTGCTGATTAAAATCATTGTCATGCAGTGCCATCTGCAGACCAGTGGCGAGAGGAAAATTCTGTGACGAGAATTCAGAGGCCTTCTAACATAACACTGTTTTATGTGATTATACCATTTTTACCTCCATTTTTTTCAAGACAAGTCACTCTGAGAGGCCATGCAGTGGCAAAAAAAAACCCTTGCCTGCACTGTTCTGCTATAGCACTATGTGACCATGCATGCATATTACTTCCAAATTTGCAAACCATCAAGGGCCAAGCATCATTTCTCTGGGCCCAGTGAACTTATAAGATCACACATGCACACATACACAAACATACATGATCTTACCTACATATTTATTTATTTGTATTTATTTATAGTCCTCCTCTCTCACTGAGGCTCAAGGATTGCACAACAGAAGTCGATGCAATCAATTGGATGTGACATCTAATAAGCAATGTAATTAGACTCGTATAGCAAGCATGCATGAGCCACAAAGGGAATTTGATCCTGCAAGCTTTGCTTCTGTCCATGTAGTATAGCAGGATGCAGTAAGCATTAGGAATAGGTTTATACTTTAGAGATCTAAAAGTACTTAACTCAGAAAATAGCATGTTTGACCTCTGGCCCAAGCTCTTCAAATATTGTATATTTTTAAAACTCTCAGTGTATAAAATCGCACATTAGCGTAAATATATGACAGTAAAGTATCACTGAATACTGGAAGCAAACGGGATTGATTTACAAATAAAGTTTTATCTTGCTTACATACTTTTCAGCTTTGCTACTTGCATTATAAAATCTATCTTGCGCCATCAACTGAAGGACTTCCGATATCGAGCCACTGTTTTTAAATGAATTGGGGGGGGGGGGTAACCCCAGCTTACAAAATGTGAAAAATTCTTCACCACACCCCAGTGACTGGTCATTTTCATCCTTAGATGTCATGCTTAAGGGGGGTTGTCAGGCTTCTGTCATTGTCTGAGATTCCTGGGACAACGTCTAGTGATATCTCTGTGAATCTCAGTACTGAATATAGTTTCCAACTCCAGGCTGGGGAATTTCTGGAGACTGGGGGTGGACCCTCAGGAGCACAAGGTTTAGGGAGGGGAGGGAGAAGACTCCTGAATTACTCCATTCTGTTTACTCCTCTGACTGTATTGAAGCACCATACAATCATTTTAACTGCTGACCTATCCCTAAGAGGCTGAACAAGTTAGGGGGGGGCAGCAGTGGTTAGGGCCACTCAGGTGACACAACTGTTTTCCAGAAAGTCCAGTGGGGAGTGCTCACTTTCTCCCAACACTTGTGTTACCTGGCAACGGAGAAGGAGAACTGTGAAGAACCGTACAAGGAAGACAAGTCAGTGGGTGTCAATACCACACTCACCCCGCCCCCATAGCATTCTTGTGGCATAGGGCTTCCCTAATTATTGTCTTGATTCTGTTTGAATTTGATATAATTATGTCACAGTCTGTACTTCCTCCATTTCATAGCCCTTTGACCCTCAAGTCTGCAATATTTTAAAATCATAAACATGTGTGTTTGCCTACTGAGGATTTTCTATAATATGACAAAATGGGCTCTAGTCGCCAATGTTCTAATAAAAACGTGCTCGTCTTTCATGTGCAGCAAGACTCCTGTACTTTCTGTCACAAGGGGCTTAACACCGTTTGGAATTATGTCGCAGTGTAATGCTTGTGTTTGCATCGGACCAGGCTATTTTGGGAAGCCCAATAATGACCCGTACACATCATAAACAACCAGATCATTTCTGACCTTTTGAGGCAAGAGTTCTACTGGGGCAGCATGGTTTGCGAATGCAGCCATTCCCCTGAGCCTTCGTGCCATGGTAGGGAAACATATTAATCACCTGTCATTTTTCCAGCTTTATTGCGTTCAGAAAACAGGGGCCCAATCCAAAAATGTGTTAAGCGTATTTGACAGCAACAGAAGTCATTGGCTGGATCACTGGTTTCAGCTGGACTTGTCCGCATCACTCCTGTGCTTTAATTTCGAGAGACTATTAATTACATGGACTAAACCCGGCTCTTGCTAGTTCTTAGACCCTTCAGCTCAGTATACTTGGTCCTTATTGCAAAGCATTTCAACTTCAGAGTACCAAGTACTGTGACTGGGCAAATCTCATTGCAACATAATATGCTCTGTATCTACAGTCTGAAGAACACAATCCTTCTGAGTTCCTACCATATACTTAGACGTTCTGGTGGCCAGGCAATTCACTAATAACCCTAAAATGGCAGGCTTAAACTAAGAAGATAAAGAAGATAATAGCCCTGATATTATCCAAAAGGCAGTATTCCAGAAAACTGGTTTATGGCTTATTAGCAATAAGTGGCATTGTTGCATTTTGTTATTAGGTTGCTATCTTCAGTTGCATCATTCCTTGCAGCAAAATGGTCTTCTTCCATCAATATTTACATATTTAAAAATGCATTTTATAGCCCCCTATAATAACAACGCATTATTCCCAATGCATTTTATACTGTCCTTTTAAAGGAACGATTAAAGATTATGACTATGCCAGTTAAAGAATTTATGAATGTGGATTTAATTTCAAATTGTTGTTCTCTTTCTTTAAAATAGGTAGCCCATCTCTCTCTCTCTCTCTCTCTCTCTCTCTTTCTCTCTCTCTCTCCTTCTCCTCCTCCTACTACTCACATACTCCTATTTGTATCAATAAATAAATTTGTATCAATATTCCTACGTGTATCAATAAATACTCATTTTAACTGTTGCAGAATGAAGACTATTAGCAAACGGAGTTGAGAAAATATATACATATTGCTGATGAATTCCTTTCTGTAAATCAGTTTCGTATTCAGATAAAAGCACACATGGAATGCGAAGCAAAACAACTTACCCTGCTTTGGAGCAGGTATATTTCCCAACCACCAACATATTCATGACAGACAAGTAAGAGATGAAATATAGCACAAATCCACTTACCAAATTTTTATCATAACCAGCCGTCCAAATGAGCTTGCCCTTTTAATAGGCTAAACAAGTATGAACTGTAATGGATATTTAGCTATAAATCCCCGAAGGCCCAATTATCCCTGTCTTTGTTCTTTTTTTCTTTTTTTAATGGACAAGCTTTTTTAATTGGACTTTGGCCCTAATATTATACACATGAGCAAACCCCTCAGAATGGAAAGAAAAAGCTACTTTTGAGGGAGTAAAATGTTATTGGGTTCATAGCCTCCATTCCCATTTTCTCTTTTAGCAGAAAATATCAACATTATGTCACATCTAATGTACTTTAGAACAGATCAACTCCATCCTTCATGGAGTTCTTGTACCACTGTGCCAAGATTTACCTGTTCTTGTGGATTTGTTTATACAACCCAAGTTTCAGAAGAGGTTAGGGCATGCTTGTTAATTAGAGATAAACCCTATCCATTCTGTCCATCTTGGGCAGTACTCTCCCTCTGTTACCTGCTTGCCTGCCAGATAGTCCTGCGCAACTCATAAGTAGGACCTAAAAGGTGACAGCCATCTTACATTGCTTGCACTCACATCTGTCAAACTGACACATTGCTTCCGAACAAAGAAACTCTACTGTTGTCTGTCATGCGGATATCATCCATTGAACAGATTTAACCAGGGCGATATATATATCTTTTCTCTGGGTGCATTTGTGTAAATGAGCCATTGACCTCCGACAATTCAGTATTCAGGGTCTTGCATAGCTGCTGACATCAAAGGCCTATCTTGTTGATAAATGAGAGGAGAAAATCAAGTTTTTCACTCAGAACTAGGGTTGCCAAATGGCACTTACCCTTGTGGCGGGCAACTCCAGTCGGCTCCCGGGGTGTGCGCGCGTGCCGCATGCACATCACAGGGAAGTGACGTCATGACGCCGGGCACGCTGGGGGCAGGGCCACATAGAGTTTTCCCCTCAAATGGCTGTGGCCCTGCCCACAGCGTGCACGTGGGGGTGGGGTTTCCCCCGGGGCCCGATTCCGCCGCGGCGGAAATCGGGCCTCCAAAGCTGGGGTTTCCCTGCCCCCCGGCGCGATGTGTCAGCCCTACTCAGAGCATGTGTGTGTGTGTGTGTGTGTGTGTGTGTGTGTGTGTGTGTGTGTGTGTGTGTAAAGATAGAGGTGCCGGAACTCTCAAGAGGGAAATGAAGTTTTCAATCTGTATACTGAAAACTCATGAACTTTTAAACATTTTTGTCAAAGAGGTTCCAGATCTCCGTTCCGGTGCATACCCCCAGAAAAAAAACTTAACCTTTAAAACATTGAACGGCCTGGGCTCACAGTACCTAAAGGGTTGGGCACACCTATATAAGCTAACCCAGCACTTGAGATCCACACATAGGAGCCTTCCTCTGGAATCCAGCTCTATGTTCAACTGGCTGGGACATCAAGGAAGGCCTTCACGTCTGCCTCCTCCTACACGTGATGCTCTCTCTCTCTCTCTCTCCCCCCCCCTGGTCCCGGCCACCGCCGCCGGCCTTGCAGCTCCACTGCCAAGCCCCATGAGGGGCCCAGCGGTGGACCTGCAAGGCCGGCGGGAGTGCAAGGAAGCCCCGCAAAGGCCCTCCCTGGCCCCAGGCAGGCAGGGGTGGGGAGAGGCAGGGAGGAAGCAACTTACCCTCCCTCTTCTCCTGCCTCCTCCTGGCTGAATGAGGGCCGGAAGCGGGGTGGCTGGAAGCAGGGAGCGGGGCTTCGTCATGTGCCCCGCCCCCCGTACCTCACCCGGGGGAACTGCAATCCCCTGCGATCCCCCCCGAAATGACCTCTGCTTTTGCAGAAGGCTTTCAGCAGTACTATGTGCTTTTATAGTAGTGTCCAGCACCAGACTTACCAGACTCAGTGTCCCACCAGCCTGTCTGATACCACCGCTGTCTATGCTGGTTCT